GTAACTTTTCAAATGACTGCATTCTATGTGTATACTGATTTATGTGGACTGAATACCCTTCTACATGTATACTTGTTTGTATTTGTTTTGTCCGTTTTATTTCATGTTTGTTTAGCACACAGAGAAATCTGTCTTTATTAATTGTTCTCTCAAAAACTAGTAGTCCAGGAATGCATAATAACCTGAGAAGAAAAGATGATAACAGACAAGAGTAACCAACAGCAATATACATAAAGGAATGGAGAATAGTGGTGAGATGAGTAGTCATACATGTTATTCACCACTATGATAATTATGAGGAACTAGTTCTTCGATATGTTTCATGTATTGATAGGCCATCAATCTATTATTAGGTGCGTCTATCTATTACATGGGATACAACAGCTGATAAGAGGAAGAGTGGGTTCCGTTTTCTGTGGTCTTTCATCGTTGTTCCTTCGGCAATTAACATGAATACGAGTATTAACAACATTCCTATCCTGATACTCTGAGCTTTGTGACAGACTGAAAATAGAACCTCTCTCGAAAAGGCGTCTTAATCTTAACCTTATTTTCTACTACAATCTAAGCAGTCATCTCCTTAATGTTTGTTATGTTCTATTCGTGTTTCTATATGTGACTCTCTTAACGAACAATCTATCCATGTCAACCGGTTTGAATGGCCGAAAATATTATCAACTTCTGGATTTCTAAAGGGCGATAAGAAAGCTTATTTTCGATAGATTCTTTTCAGGATAAAAATAATAGGAAAGAACAGTTGTTGCTTTCAATAAATTCTTTGTCTTCAGGCTTTACAATTATAAATGCAATAATTTTAGCATACATTGGCCAGCTAGTATAGGCAAATTACAAGTGTATCAGAAAGTGTATTGCAGAGCGAGTACAAGATGGAATAATAGTCAGTTAGATTTAATTATTATTTAAGCATGTGTAGTCAATAAGAACGCGAGATCAGTTGAAATGAAATAATCCAGTGATATATATATATATATATATATATCTATGCATGCATCGATCAAATCACAACGCCACGTATCATCATTGAAGAGAGCTGGGAATAGCAGTCAACTTCTACCTCAACTCCATCGACTTTGTAAAAGCCTTCAGCAGACAACGTCGATCGAGATGTGATTCGGAAACTTCTTCGCCGCTACGGGGTGCTGCCAACAATTATACACGTCATCCAACAGTTCTGCGATAATGCTGCATGCCAAGTAATCCACAACGGGAAACTCACTGCATCCTTCGAGGAGAAAACGGGAGTAAGACAAGGTTGCACACCATCTCCAATGATTTTCTTGATTGCAGTTGACTGGCTAATGCTACAGACACAGGGCGGGCAACGAGGAGACAGGCATAAAATGGGCCTGATTGTATATGTCTGATTTCCCACAAACTGGAAGACATGCGAGTGAAAGGCGACAAGTTGGCAGAAGAGGCATCCGGAGAAGATAGGACTCCAGGTGAGCACAGAGAAAACAGAGGTGATGATCAGATTCCTGGCCAACAGCAACAACAACAACAGACAATAATCAACCAGCATAAATGGGAGAAATCTGAAAGAAGCAACCTCCTTTACCTACCTACCTTGAAAGCATCGTTCCAACTACAGGCGGACGGAACTGATTTGGATATCATCAAAGCGAGGATCGGGAAAGCAAGACAAGCCTTTATTACTCTGAAGTCTGTGTGGAGACCAACAGCGCTCCTCAGCATGAAGAATAAGATGTGGATTTTCAACTGCAATGTGAAGTGAGTGCTACTACACGGATCAGAGACTTGGCGCCGCGCCGCGTCGCTTCACGAAAGCCACTTAGAACAAACTACAGACCCTTCCTAATTAACAGTTGTCTTCACTGAGTACTTCGCTCAAGATCAGATTGCGGGCCGCAAAACAGCAGCAGCAGAGATCTCTGGCAGGAAATGTCCCCTCCGCTGCTGTATTAAGTCTATATTTTAGAATGTCAGCTGCAATCTCTCATTTGTGAGTTAACTCTATAGACGAAAGGTGTTTTATTTACCCCACACATACTTTTAAAAAGTTGTTTGGATTTCCGTTTTCTTGTAGAATAAGTCCCAATTTAGACATTTCTTCCTTTATGCATTCCTCTTAACATATGTGTTCAATTATATAACTAAGGCGCCTAAGTTCATTTTGTAATAAAATGGCACTAAACTGCACTGCATTCATTGACACACAAGCACACAGTAGCATGGTGGGAGAGGGTTGATATTCGAAGAAGTAATATAGGCAGGTGGAGAGAGAGAGGTTGATTACTGAATCCTTGTTCATCGAATCTACACCCAACACGTGAAATAGGAATGACTCATCACTCATACGGGAAATATGGAAAATACTACTACTATTACTACCAATCAAGTCAGGTGATGAACAATAATGGAATTATATCAACGAAGTTAGAAAGTTGTGTGTGAGTAATGCCTTGATATGACTATGAGCAATAAATTGTGCGCGAAACGTCATCAGTAAATATATAACACTGTTTAACTCTGTGAGGGAGAGGAGAAAGCTATTTAGTTACTGAATTCAAGATGATTTGATTCTTTGGCGTTAGCAACAAGTTATCACATCACCAAGAATTTTGTAGAATAGCAATGATGACTAAGAAGATTGGGATGAGTTACGTGAAATGCAAACAAGCTAATAGAATTAGCCAGAATTGTGAAAATTAACAAAGTCAAAATATAGCCACAAGGGGAAGGAAAGAATCGTTTTAAAAACTTAAAACATATTTTATATAGTTGGCCATGGCAAAGAAGAAGCTGCTGTACAAATTCCTTTTGAATACACACACACACACGCACACATTTGGCTTGTTCAGATGAATTCCGATTGCCTCTGCTGTATGTGTAAAGGTGGTACTTGCTGAGGTTGAGTGATATACGATTAATAAATAACTTCAAAAGCTTTATCAGATTCGACTTGATGTCCATTCACTATGGAGTGTCACTCTCTTTCTTCACAACTGTAAATGTGCATCATCGACATATATCGGCAATAGAAATCAAGATTACATATCACATCTTTAAGCGAATCATTCTCTACTTTCCCCAGGAAAATATCTGCTAGCATTGGGCCTAGTGGTGATCCTAAGGCAAGACCATCTGATTGTCAATATATTTTTTTTATTGAACAGGAAATTTACGTTCATTGTACACCTTAATAGAAGTTCCTTTACGGAAGACACAGCGATTCCAATACCTATGCCTTGTCGCTTAATCAATCCATTATCTATATAACCAATTGTCTCCATCAAAAGCACAACGGTGAATAAGGAGGATACATCCAGTGATATCATGTATTTGTCCTTCACACTTAATTCCTTGGGGAATCGTGATTCCAGATGATGATGAGAACTGAATAGAAGAGGATGGAATGCAAATGTTCAATTGGAGCCCTCTATTTTCCACTTGGAATCCAAGGGAATAATAATATAAAAATAATTTATTCCTACTTGGCTTAATCGTAAATTGTTTCCATTCAGTTTTCCACCCTATTATTAGTAACGACACAATGTGTGATGAACGAAGTTCACTTTAACAAGTAGACTGGTGTGAAACAGAAATCCACAGTCGCTCAGTAACCATCCAAGGGAGCTTCTGTTCCATTCGTTGACTCTATCTATTATAAACCAAGTTTCCGCTTAAGTTTCAATCAAAAGCCATTACATCTGAAGTGATTTCAGCTAGTTTTACCAACAACCGGTAGTAGCAGTAGCAGTAGTAGTGTGGCGTGTGCTACTGACAAGCCTTATCGGTAGTACATTAAGAAACGTCCATCGGCACAAAATTATGAAATAGCCGAGAGACAGATTTGGCATCAAAAAGAGAGAAAATGAACCAGTACTGAGCCAATGCATGGAAGACTCGAACAGAAGACCGAAAAACACACGAAAGGGGCAGTAATAGCACAACACTGAACACCTGTACAGCAAATGATGATTTTCATATAATGTGGTGTACATAGTTCCCCTATATGTGTATATATAATTCCTAATAAACACACCGTTACCAAGTCTCTTGCCTTCCACCGTTACATTTGGTTTCGCTTCCTGCTGCTTTCCAAGAAGCAAGTATAAGGAGCTTCTTGCGGCTCTCCAGTGCAGTCACCGTGTTGGTAGGCATCACCATCTGACAACGAAGGTCGTTGTACTGAGGTCGGGTGAAGGCGGTTTGAGGCACTGTCGAGTCGCCAGGTGATAAAGAAACCTGGAAGGTATTGGCTGAAAGACTGTTGGCGGAGTTCGACGAACAGACAGCTGGCAATGCAGCACTTCCATGACGCCAAGCTGGGACTCAACTGAGACCCATTCATCTTGACGGTGAATTTGGGGAATCTATTACTTCGCGCACTCCCCATATTGGTTAAAGACACTGTCTCAGTTATTGACTTACAAATTCACCGAGAGTCTTCCAAACTAATAGTGATAACATAGATAAGAAAGAATATAAGGAATCTGTAGTTGTACCATGTTAGGAGGAGACATCTGACACCTTACGTAGGTTTCCTAATGAAGCGGGGATTAGGGTGGCATTTAAATCCACAGACTCACTCAGATACGCCAAGCTCTGTAGGTTGAAGGACTCTGTAAGTTGACCTAACCACACAAAATAATGTAATTTGCAAAATACCTTGCAATGACTGTGGAAAGGGCAACTACATAGATCGTCGCTAGAAAGATGTAGAGACTTGCTAAGTGCCAGACAAGCATTCTGAATCTATGCTGAGATTTCCTAGGTGATCACTTCACGTGAGCTGATGCAAGTCTCCAAATTAAGTGAAATATTCAACATACTTAGTTATTCCGCCTCCTAGCAAAAGAATCACAACAAGTACTGCATAAAATTGCGCATTTCATTTAGCAGCATAACAATCAAAAAATCAACACTTGAGTATGAGAAAAATATATATTGAAAAATGCTGGATGCATAAGATACAACAAAGATGTTTGTATTCCCAACCAGCATACACACAAGTGTCAGCGCCTCCTTTTGCGTGAACTGCCAACACCTACAGCGGGAGTGACTGCTGATTTAGTCGGTGTTTGAACCATATCATCTGAAGTTGTAAGAATGTCAGCCCAGCGTACCGACTTTCTTATTCGTTTTCGATTAGAAGTATCTAAATGGAAAAATCATAGATGAAGTATGACTTCACACGAAAATAATTTGCATGCATCAACAGAGTATAGAAGATGCCTCAAATTACAATGGGTTTTCGTCTCATGGGTATATCTAGTAAAAATAAACAATCTATTGTGAAGTAAACCTAAGTTGTCAGACTGAAGTCTTCTGCTGCACCTTGCACATTATTGCAAGTGGAGACCTTTCGCCTAAATCTGCATCATAGGTTTGTGACTTTAATGAGACGATATTTCATGCTGACATGACCTCAAGATCCATCAAACTGTGATCCTCCTCAAAACATCCAACTACGGACATTAGTGGGTCATACTTTTAGTTGCAATTCACACCCACTTAAGCTTAAATAAGCACACACACAAGCACAAACACACCAGGAATGCATCTCACGACCGCTTTTGTCGGATATACTATCAATTACATAGGAGAGACGACATTGACTACTTTCCAAGCAAATGCAAAAACATCACAATATTCATTAGAAGTGTCTCTCTCCAGTATTCATGCAACCAGTCCCTTAACTGATTTCATAGAAAGATCTAAATGCTGTTGTGACTTATGCGAAGTCTTGCAAATATTCCAATAAAAACTGTCTCCTAGTCTACGAAATTCACCCAAGAGAATGATAACTCACATTCTCGAAAATTCCCATCTTCCTACTTTATATATATACGTATATATCGCCTTAGGAATAGCTGGCGTTTTGTCACATAAATACCAGAAATATGACTGGAGTGTTAGTTGTAATATTGGGCTGCTACCTTACCTAAAATTGAAGATTTCCGTGTAGCTGTATCGCTTCGGTGAATAACACGGGGAAACGGCAATTCCTTCAATGAATCAAACTCCTCCGGTAGACTAAATTCTTGCATTTTACCTTGAAAAGGGTTCCCTTCAGATTCATGCTTCACAGAAACGTTCCAATATTTTAAGAAATAGAAATTACCAGTTCTTCCATATTGAAAAGTGTATCCAGTTTCTTCCAAATGTCATCAGGAGTTACTGGTTCACGAAGAACTGAATTCAGATGATTGCACAAACACATCATTTTGAAGTGGCGAAATACCCCAACGGGTTTGTGCTTAATTAATCCTCGGAAAAGTTCAATTTCCGATTCACAGGTCCATTCATATGAATCGGTCCTGTCAGTAGCCATGTGTATTCAATTCTAGGGCACTGAAAATCCAATAATCAAAATTAAAAGTATTAGAAGTAGGCGAATCGCAAGAGGCTTATATAAGAAATACTACAGAAATATTTCTCTCTTGGCTGACCAGCTTATCAGGAAGAACACGAGTGAAGCAATGAGACCAGAAATACTAATCGCAATACCCACAGAAACGATGTGTGATTTTACTAAATGAAGCAAGTTGATAGTCACAGAACTGCAAGGTGACTTAATGTCAGTAAAACGTTTGATCAAATATAGTATAATTATATTTCAATGGTTTACACACAATGATGAGTTTTGTTATCGCTAATATTTTGAGCAAAATTACTGCCCGTCTTCACAACACTGTTGGAATTGTTTTGGTTTTTTATTCACACATTTATGATTTGTACTCACATATATAGTTCTTTTATTTTGTTCATTCATTTTTGTGAATTCAGAATTGTATTCCAGGTTGTTGACAGTTGTACTGAGTCACCCTTGTTACATGTATCCGGTGTGACCTTAATCAATTTGATTGTGTTTTAAGTCTCTCTTTCCATTTGTTCATATTACTTCTTTAGAATACAAACATTGTTCCGATCGATATTGTGGTTTTTGTCCCATTCATGTGCAGCACAACGTTTAAACCGATGAATCTAATTGCAAATAAAATAAATCAACTGAAAGATCCCATAAAAATGATGGATAAAAAAATGTGATCCACAAAATATCTTGTGCCGAGTGTCGGACTAAATGTGTGGGTCAAACGTCCAGATTACTCAAAATAAGAGTGAATGAACATAAACGCCTAACTAAAGGTCAACTAACACGAACGTTGTACTGCACATGAATGGGACAAAAACCACAATATCGATTGGAACAATGTTTGTATTCTAAAAACTAATATGAACAAATGGAAAGAAAGACTTATAACACAATCCAATTGTGTATACGTAAGTTCAAATGTTCCCATGAAGCTGACTACCTCAAATGTACAATAAAGAGTCTCCAAACCCTGCAAACATCGCCATTCTACATGGTTAAGCATCAAAGTGAAAGCAACACTTGGAAGCCCCATACACACCGACCTGCAGTGTTTATTTATCTGCAGACAGCAGGAGCAAGCTAGGCCATACAGTTGAAAATTCGCCTACATATCCAAAATAATAATTTCTTTTCCATTGACAATATAAAAAAATATCACTTTCAAAGAACAAGATCGTGCATAGATAGCCTCAACCATTTAGCTAGAACCTAGTAACCAGGATTCTTTCATGAGCCACACGACGTGTGCGAGCTATTGGCACTACTCAGTCTCCCAGAATGAAGTGCACCGGCACTCGAGGCCAGAAGCTAATGACTGAAAGTAAACTGCTGACGTCAATGAGCTTCATTTTCATCTTTATATACCCGCAAGCTTTAAGTGGCCTAAAGGTCAAATTGTGTACCGTTCTGACAATCATTGTCGCCTGAACTTTTTTGCTCTCAATGTCACCAAAAGAAAAGTCGGTTAAGGAGTGAATTGAGGACTAGACACTTGATTAAATTGGCCTTGAAAAGTGATCTGCCAGTGATTTCACAGCTGGTTAATCATCTCCATCAAAAAATGATAGATTTCGGCTTGATAGAAGACAAGAGGCATTTAAAAGATGCCATGGATGCTCAATGGTCGGATGATGAAACGTGACAATTAAAATTAGACTTCGAATCTGAATCTGAAGAAATAGTTCGTTTCCTGGGAACACAGAATCTCACTACACGTAAGATATGCCAACGGCCGGAGAGCACGTGCGGAGAGAAACGTAGATGATAGCGATTTACTGATCAGCAACGAGGCAGAATTGTTTGACAGATACGAAAGTTGGTAGGCTGCGGTGCGATCAATTGTCGTCTGTATTTTGCGCGGAACTATGCACTGTCCTTGTCCAATATAGCTAAACAACCATGAATTTATGTGAATTCACTCTTCTCACTGTTTCATAGTGAACTTAAAATTCGATATTTTCCGATCACCGTACTCCTCCTTCTCTTAGAATTTTCGAGAGACTAGCGGAACTGTTGTTTTCTCTGCTACTGACGATGAGAAGTACAATTGTGATAATAAAATTCATTATAATGATACATAGCACTATGAGAATACAGAGTAAGAAGGGGTTCAACGCTTTTGTGATTAGTTTGACACAAACTTCTGAACTGGAAGTGGATGATAATTCAATGAATATATATATATAAATATTACAGAGAGTGAACACACACACAGAAAAAATATTTGTATAAATAAACACAGATTTGTATACGTCAGCTCTGTAGATAACACATATCCAATATCCTGATTACGAGCTAGTATAAACCAGTGATTTCTTTGAGCTCGCTTCTTGATTGTAAGGTGGAGGTTCCAGATCTTCGGTGAACTTATGCGCAGTAAATCCCGCCACTCGACTGCTTTAGCTCTGGTAGGCTCCAAGAAGAGTAGTGCGAGGATTGGTCAAGATTGTGGTTTGTAGTGTGCAGTATGTTAGGACTCAGCTGCTGCCGTGAATGGAGTTTGAAATAACACCCGTTGGTCATTTGGTGTAGTCATGAAAGTAGAATAATAATAATAGGTTGTAGTGTAGATAATATAGGTTGAGATAAGTGAAATAATAAAGGCGAAATAATAAAGAAAGAAAGAAAAGATAGAGTAGTCGGTACAGTGGGAGAAGACAGGACGGGTCGTGGGGATTTAGCTTGTATGCTTATCCATTGACAATGTGGTTTCAAATTTTAAGAGGGTAAGCCATCGAGACACAAACCATGCATTTCTGCATGATTGTCCAGCTTCCGCTTAAAAGTCTCCACAGATGGAGCTGTAGTTACGGCCGCCGGTAAAGCGTTCCAGAGACGGCAAACTCGAAGTGAGAAGAAATGTGAACGCACTCGAGTCTTTGGTCTCTGGTGTGCTATCCTCGTGGAAGCCCAAAATCACTTAATGGCAGGATGCTCTTATTAGGGTGGGCCTGGTCATTTAAGATCTTATAGACGGCGATGAGGTCTCCCCTGTGACTACGGTAACTAAGTGTGAAAAGACTTAATTTCTTCAGTCTTTCCTCATATGATTTGTTGCGGAGGCCGATCACCCATTTTGTCGCTCGTCTCTGGACACTCTCTAGAATGTTAGCATCCCTTTTGAGTAGCGGAGAAGCAATGATATTATGCACCTCAAGGAGTGGCCTCACGTATGTCGTATACAACGTTAAGAATAGTTCAGGAGTAAGAACTCCCAGCTACCTATGCATAAAGTGTAAAGTAGCGTAAGCTTAGGCGACGTCCCTCGTGTAATTTACACTGGTGTCTAGCTTTTCTGTTAAAATAAGGCCTAGGTCGCGTTCTGATGGCACACAACTCAAGTTCTGGCCACCAAGGGTGTACTCTGTGACCTGCCGGAATGAAGTTGCACTACTTGAAAGGAATTCCGTTAGCCAGAGCCCAGTCTCCAAGCCTGCAATCTGTTGGAGTCTTCCGATGAGTTTATTGCTCTCCAAATCTTTACGTCGTCAGCGTAAAGAAGTGCAGAGCGATTCAGTTGACAGGGCAGGTCGTTGATAAAGACCAAAAACATCAACGGCCCTAAGATGGAACCCTGAGGAACCCCTGATGCCGAGGTGTACCAGAATGATCGGATGTGGTTGACTTGGGTGCAGAATTCTCTCTCGCCTAAATAATCTTCCAGCCATGCGAGAAGTGCTCCAGAAACACCCACTTTGCTTATTTTGTGAGGGAGCAGACTATGGTGAACTGTGTCGAATGCTTTCGCAAATTCGAGAAAGATCACATGGACTGGTGCCTTT